TCCTTCCTTCCTTCCTTCCTTCCTTCCTTCCTTCCTTCCTTCCTTCCCCATCACATGGATTTGGTACAACTGTTCTATGTAACGATAGGATTAGCTACTTGTTGAAAGATGTATTAAATGTACCACTCCATCAAGAGCTGCACACGCATGCAGGTGTATACACACACAATGACGCAACTGGCTTTTCCAAATTAGAACATATTTTCAATTTATTAGAAATAGTACCAGGATATTTTTTTTTAAAGCAACAGCAACTCTATGCTGGCAAATAGGAGATACATTCAGAAGGGAGGTCAGTTGTTTTCATAGCAGGTTCTGGAATGATATGTTTAGCTTATGATCACGCTGCCAAGAATTTCCCATATGGATGTTCTACTGTGAATCTTTTTAGAGAAAAATTATTGGCAACAAATAAATGCTACTTAGAAGACTCTCTGTTGTTCATAAGGCTGCAGAACGAAGGCCGATTTGCCTCTTGAACAGGCTGCGTCTGCTGCTGATGCTGAGTAGAGATGGGTCTAATTGCAGAATGAGTGGCAGAGAAAGTGAGACAGAAAGGAAAGATTGCAGCCATAAAAAACTAGTTTATTGGGAATGCTTCCTGTCTAAACCACGCCAAAATGAATGCATGCCCCAGCTCTTGCTTAAATCCTATTCATTCCATGGTGTTGATGTATATTTTCCCCATATGATACATTTTCATAATCTGCACAAGGGAAACTCAATCATTTTCATCAATTCTACTGAAAACAACATCAATTTTTAACAAGTAACCTGAACCCTACTTTAACTCTTTTTGTTGTTGTTGTTAAAATAAAAGAAACAACCACCACCATAAAACAAGGGAAGAATGCACTCAGTTAGAATAGTGGAAATAAATAGGTTTTCCTCCCCTCCCCCAGTAACTGGCAGCATAACTTTACCCAATTAAAATGATTTTTCGGTTTATCAGATATAGCCAATTAGGAATGTTAAACTTATTTTAAAAGAAAGACACTGACAGTGTCTAATTATATACATATATGTTTGGGAGGCAAATTAGTTTGCGTGAAAGCTGCACGCTGGTGTTACCGCTCTTATACAATACTTCCATCTAGTGGATACTGTTGGGGTTATTTAGTTTTATTGAAAGGCAAGGCAAGGAGACTGGTATTAAAGAAGGTACCTACTGTATAACTATGGAGGGAGACCATTCCATAAAACAAACTGATTTAAAATAATCATTTCCAAAGCTGTGCATCATTACACTTTTAACAGGCGTTTGAAATCTGTTTCCTTCTGAATTCCAGTGAAATGTTTGAGCAACGAGTGAGCTTAGGGAAGCACAGCCGGGCAGAACGCCAAACAGCTTGTAAACCCTTGATTCCAAATAAATGAAGGCTAGACTTCAATCACTTCTTTTTTCCCTCCCCTGTGCTGTGATTTTTCTTGTGGAAATGGCATTATTGGGAAAGTGACAATGGCATCCATTTTAGGCACTCCTGCTGGTAGTTTGTGCTGTTGGCGGAGGCTCTGATTCTAAATGTATGAAGATTTGGAGTGCTTAGCACGTTGTGCCGAGCCAGAAAGTCGTCCAGCTTCTCTGTTGCCTTTTAAATACATCCCTCGGCAAGCCTTCTTCTATAAGCTTTTTCAGTCGCATATCTAGAAATGATTGCATGCCATAGACATTTTGAAGCATTGAGATTGTGTATAGAGGACAAGAATTGGGAGGCTGTCAGCGGTGGGAATATGTCGCTCTTCCAGTGTTGCTGAACTACAGTTCCCAGCTTCATTCACTAATAACCATCCTGGTAGGGGTAGCTGGATGTTTTAGTTTAGTAAACATCTGGAGAGAGAGAGAGAGAGAGAGAGAGAGAGAGAGAGAGAGAGAGAGAGAGAGCGCTATACAGTTTTGGCAAAGATCCAGAGATCTACAGATCCCCACATTCCCCACTCTATGGCCACGATGAGCTTCTATATTCCAATCAAGATAACACTAACTTGCTAGAACCAGCCACTGAAAGTAACCTTGTGGTAAACCAAGCTTTTATTGTTCTTCCTAAGTTATCTAGTGACCATATCATAGCTCAGAAAGTGAGCTGGTATAGCTCTGCTTCTTCTACTTCAGTAACATTTGGCATGAAGCTATAACCAGAAAGCCGTAAAGAGTGTCATGCTATGGCTATTCATTTTTCCAAACCAAGCCAACCAGAATCTGAGCTAAGTAGGACTGTGGATGTAATTTCCTGCAAAGATCTCAAAATCAGATTATTATATTTGGGCTGTCTGGAAAATATGCAGGTATTACTGTTCAGTTGCTATTCCACAGTCTACCTAGATGGGGTGGAAACAAAGCCTACAATACTCATTTATCCCACTTTAAAAACAAATCCATAAGCAACTTCTGGTGAGTTTGATCTTGACATTGCTAGTGTTTTTATTCCAGGAAGGAATCCTTATGACACATTGTTTTCCTTAATTATATAATAATATAGTTTTTCATGATCTCTACAGTAATTTCATTTCCATCACATTAACGTGATTCGTTTTCTGGTGTTGGTGTTTACAGCAACATGCGTCATTTCTTTTATCCAAAGAAGTAGTTCCTTATAAATTATTTCTATCAATAAATCCAGGTCTCTGTTGTCTGCTTGTAACTTGGATATTTTATCCTTGTAGCATTCAGTAATTTGAAGAGTCAAGAGTTCCAGCTCTGATCCTTTAATAAAAATTCCCTAGGATTTTTATCAACAATGAAGCATATTCAAAACAGCTGTTGGATGAATTGAATTAGTTCCTAGAGGCATGTTTTGTAAACTGTTGGGTACAACATCAAGAGAAACCTTGTGTGAATGAGATGCACCAGATCAAATAACACTGTAATATGTTTGTGTTTTACAGTGTTTGTACCTACTGTATATAGCTCTAAATCACTACGATGAAAAAATGAATCATATGCATACATTAACCACTTTCAAACCCATATTTCATTATTAGTTAAATATATGTAATCAATTAACATTATCTTATCCTGATTTTTTTTCTTTAGTAAACATAGTATGTAGTCAAGATATATATGATGATACATCATCATTATCTGAATTTGATCCTCTGATAACATCACCACCAGTGGTGGTATTCAGCAGGTTCTGACCAGTTCTGGAGAACCGGTAATGGAAATTTTGAGTAGTTCAGAGAACCAGCAAATTCCACCTCTGACTGGAGATTTTACAGTATCCTTCGCCTGCCACGCCCACCAAGCCACGCTCACAGAACCAGTAGTAAAAAAAATTTAAATCCCACCACTGATCACCACTCTACTTTCTATTTGAAACAGAGCTGGTTTGTGATTTTCACCAGAGCCATAGAGAGCCTTAATCCCCCGCTTTCATTGTGGAGACTGTGGTCCCATTTCTGATCATATTTCCCCTAAAGCAAATATTCTAATAACAAAAATTGGACATGATGAATGTCTGCCTGCATTTAATGTGCCATCTAATTTGCCATTCAGTCTCCTCTGTTTTCTCTGCAAAGGTCAGGCCCTCATAATGAGGCTGCAGATGATAAGTAATCTAGTAAGAGAGCTACTAGAGGAATCAAGTACCAAGCAGCATAAAACAGGCAGCTAATGAAAATCAGATTTCATAATAGCGGAAGGATAGTCTTGTCTTCTCTCTCTCCCACCCCCTCTCCCTCTCTCTCCTTCCCTCCCCCCTCTCTCTCCCTCCATTCCTTTAATGTAAGAGAAACTTTTCTTTTCTGATTTTTCTGTGTGTCTTCATAATCGCCACTTTTACCACAGAATGTCAGAGTATAAAGTGCAAAGGAAAAAGATTGCAACAATTGTGATTTCCATGGAAACACTACAGATTTGCCATAAAAGTTTGATCCTATGTAGACAGTACTATCCGTACTTATTTTCCAAGTGGGTGCAATGCAGACTCTAAGAAACACTCCAGGATGTCCCATTAAGAATTAGAAAAGATATAATTTGACACACAGGCTCTCAGTGACTATAGAAACAGAAAAGGATATTTCACACAGGGTTGTTGTTGTTTTTTCACATCGCCAGAAAATTAGTTTCTATGATTGCAATGGATGCTATTAACAATGGGAGACAGTCTCTGGGCCAAATCCCTTTCTTACACCCCACCTCAATTTTTCTGGCCCATGGTGACCTGCTAAATCAAAGTTTAGTCCGTAATGTCCCATTTCTTTCTTTTTTTAAAATTATTTTTAATTTTAATTATGAGAATACAACACAATACCTCCAACTTATCCTTGTTATACATACATACATACATACATATATACATATTCTACTTCATCATTTATAATCTGCTTATTTAAATTATTAATTACTAAATAATCTAATCATAACTACTAATATTTTGAACTTGTCTTCTACTATATAACCATTGATAAAAATTTATTCCATTTCTTTTATGTCCCATTTCTTTTATGTTTCGTATAAATGATATTGATCATATTTGTTCCTACAGAGTATTAGGCTGATTATAAAGTGAATTTGTGTGGATAGAAAAATAAATACAATAAGGTTGTCCGAGCCAGCCCATAATCTTATCATTAAACAGAATAGAGCAATTGGCCACCCTTGATTTGGAAGCATCCATACATATTCAGGATGGATATTTTCTTTCAAGTGCTTTTAAGAGGAGGGTAAAATAAGGGGTCCTTTTTTCTCTAGCTGCTTCTAAAGACAACAGATGGACTGCTTTGCAAACAAATCTATTCTGTAGGTATTACAATTCAGCTTCAGCAAATCCCGAATGTCCAAATGCTAAAATATAATATGTTTGCTTAAATTATGCAAATCAGGAAGGATAGCCTTTTAAACTGTTTAATGTTCTCCTTATGTTATTTCTGTGGTTTTAAATTGCTGATTATATTAGGTAATTTCTTTTTTAATTGTGTTTAATTAATTAATTTGATCTGTATATCTTTTCATTATTATTATTCACTGCATGGGTGACTTGTTTATTGTAATCCCAGCTCAGCAGAACCAAATGTATTTTCTGTATCAAAATTGCTAGGATTAGCAATACTTTAAACTGAATATTGCTTTTCCGTACAATTCTCAACTTTCTAATTCTTAGATATATTTTAGGCATCGTGTCTCATAATAATGGACACTGTGGGTCATTAGTTTATTTTAAAAAATGCTTTTATAAATTGAATCAGTTCGTTATAAGAATAATGAGAGATCTATAAAGTTGATATATGTTATTTCTTTTGGTAGCTAGAGATATACTGTGTCCACAGATACACTGATTTATTTCAGGTTCTATTCTGCTCCTTCCTACTGCCATAGCCACAAGTTTGGAAAAATATATGGAAAGGAACTATTTCATATACCTGTGATGGCCAACCTATGGCATGCCACAGGTGGCACGCAGAGCCATTTGTGCTGGCACCGTGAGCTGCAGGCAAGCTTACTTCACTGGGCATGTGCATGCCTCACAGCTGATTTTCGGCTGGTTTGAGGCCTTTTTTGGCCTCCCAAAGGCTTGAGGAAGGCTTCTGCAGGCTGAAAACTAACCCCATTTCATCACTTCCTGTTTTTCCAAAAATACCAAAAGTGATGAAATGGGCAGAAGCCTGCAGAAGCCTTCCTCAGGCCTTTGGGAGGCCAAAAAAGACCTCAAACCGGCCAAAAATCAGTTGTGAGGTGCAGTGCAGGTAAGGGGGCAGCAGGGATGGGCGGGTGGAGATTACACATGCATGTGTAGCGGGTGTGTGGGGGCGCACATTACCTTCTGGGTGCTGGCACTTGAGTGCGAGCATGCAAGCACATGCACAATTTTTGGCACCGGAGCCTAAAAAGGTTAGCCACCACTGTCATATATATTTATGAATATCAATAGTCCTCAACTTATAATCACAATTGAGTCCATTGCTAAGCAAGGCAGTTGTTAAGTGAGTGGCCCCCTGTTTTATGACCTTTTTTGCCACAGTTGTTAAGTGAATCACTGCAGTTCTTAATGGTATCACTGCAGTTCTTAAAGGAATCTGGCTTCACCCATTGACTTGGCTTGTCAGAAGCCAGCTGAGAAAGTTACAAATAGTAATTGCATGACCCCGAGACAGTTTAACTGCATAAATACATGCCAGTTGCAAGTACCCAAATTTTGATCAAGTGACCAATGCTACAATGGTCATTAAGTGTGACAACCAGTATAAGTTTTTTTCAGTGCCATTGTCACTTTGAATGGTCACTAAAACATATGGTTGTAAGTCAAGGATTACCTGTATATATATTTTTCTATTTGTCATACTCAAGAACAGCGGTGTTTAAGCTGGAAGTCCTGGAAGGCCAATGGATAATTTTGGAGGTGAGGTATCTGTGAACTTGGATGGGAAAAATAATAGAACTTTACTTTTGCTAAACCACTAACTGAAATTTGGCTTTTCATTCAATAATAATCTGTGCAGGCCACAACGTAATTTACAGTCACTAAACTCCATTAATGTTTCTTAACATCAATTATCTAAAATTATTATATCTTTTAAAAAAGAGTGTGAGAGCCAATCTGGTGCTTAAAGGCATGAGGCTTTAGTTCTACCTTAGGCATGAAGCCAATTGATGGTTGGTCACCCTCCCTCAGTCCTAGAAAGAAGGCAACTGCAAACCACTTCCATAAATCTTGATAAGAAAACTGTAGGGCCATACAAGAGTCAAGACTGATTTAAAGAAAGCTCCTTCCACCAATGTCCTATTGGATTAATAAAGAAGTCCATATGTGTGTTATTTTTAATAACTTTATCAGTTTTTGAGCATGATTGATTTCCTTTTTAATAGTCTTGATTGTCTGTTGTCTATGCACTTTCATGCAGCAGTATGCAGTATATGATCTCGCTCTAAGTGCCTTTGTACGGATGGGATGATGGAATGGAAAATAAATGACCTTTTCAAGAGGTGTGATACGTTCCCTGTAGATATCTGCCTTGTACTTCAAAACATGAGGATGAATTTTGTCTATAGGGGAATAACTGTGCAAATTTCAAGTTTCAGACTTTATTTTTTTAACAAAACGTGGACATCCCAAAATTTATTTTTTTAACAAAACGTGGACATCCCAAAAGGGGTGGTGGAACCCAGCTTGGGGAATATATTGATTTAGCGTATGGAACTAGCATATTGCTTCTAAAAGCTCTGACATACATTTAAGGATAAAGACTAAGAAGTTGGTATTTGTCAAATAAACTGAACAAAGGTTACAATGGAAATGAAAAAAGTAGGGCCTTCAGGCAAAATGTATAGGTTTCAAGGAGAGAAAGAAGAAGAAATAAAGCATGAGATATCATAATTATCTGTTCTAAACCCAAGAGACTGCCCTTTGGGATTATTTGTGGGTATTTTGAAAAATACTATAAACTCAGGCTATCTTCTAATCTCCCAGCTCTTAGTTATGCACTTAAGAGAATCAAAAACATGAGGCTTGTTTAAATACCCTCAAGAACAACATTTTATATGACAAACTCCCAGATATCTTGCAATAATGTTGGAGAAACCAAGTAGCAGTTCAGTTGTTTTGGCCCCAAAGCTACAAAAATTTCATATTACAAAATCCTACTACAAAATCATTTAACAGCACCTTCTCGAGCTTCTGTAAACATACTGGCTGAATCCCACAACTGGCATCTTCAAAAATTGCTAGGGTTAATGTGGTTAGTATGGATACAGTTCCCCCCCAAAAAATAAGGGAGAGCAGGATGGACGAATTGCTGTTAACAGATGGCATGCCACACATGAAACCATGTTTTGGATTCAGAGGGCCTTTTCCTAGACTCTTTTTCCCAAGTTGTTCCATAATAGAATAATGGAACCTCTATTAGAAGAAGATCTAGCCCTAGAAATAGGGGTTAGTTACCTGTAGAACAAATATGAAAACAACCCAATTGATTGAGAACCCATTCGCCCAGTGGTGCACGATTGCTAATCACCTAATCAACTATGGAACTACCAATGTTCAAAAAAGGTTAGTTCAACCACAGAGAGAATCAAGGAAACCATATCAACCTCTAGTCCGCTGGGACTCTCTACTCTTCTATAGTGGGTGAGGACAAAAAGTAAAAATGAGGATTCAGGACCTGGAGAAGGATAAACTGTGGGAGGATACCCTTTTTGTCTGTATTAGCAGCAGGGAGAGAAGGCTTATTTTGTATTAATCTTCTCAGTCCTACTGGGTATGACATAATTGCGAAGAGTTACTTTATACCCATATATTTGGATCAAAAATATTAACCTCTTCTATTTTTGTTCTTGATTTGGGAGAATGGTTGAGCAACATGAAGCCCCCTGCTTGACCATTGGGTGAACAGACCAACAAAGAAAGGAATAAGAAGACCAGCTTTGGAGACCATGAGAAGATTGAATAAAGCTAGAGAGAACTGTAAGGACAGAACAAGAAAATCCAGTGGATCTCACATTCAACCACAGTTACGAAAGGTTCTATGGCTTTGAATCTATGCTCCATATGGAGCAGAACAAAACTAATATTTGTTATTAAAAAAAAAACCAAAAGAGATCCTTATCTGTGTTTCCTTTGATGTTATGAGGGACAAATAAGCATCAAGCATCAGCATGCAAATAAAAACATACTATGGTGGATACTCGGGTGGCATCCACACATTGCAGATGAAAATGTTCCAGGATTCTGATAATTCTTCTGTTAAGCCTTTGAATTGATTATTAAAACAGATTTTTTTTTTAATGTTTGGAGTCAGTGAGGCATATAGGTATTTACACATCCTGGCAATTTTCTGGGAAGACTTTCTTTAATCACTTGAGGTATAGCTCTCTGGAAATTAATCAAGGGGGAACTACACAATAAATTAGACTTGTACCTTACTGTAGCCCTCATGTGTATCATAAAACAATTTATGCTAGCCATAGAATAAATAAAATCAATCATAGGTCAGGTCACTAGCTAATGCAATTCACAAAAGACTGTCATACAGCTGCTCAAGGTAAGAAACTGGTGACAATGTGGCATAGCCATATGGAACAAACGGTGCAATTTCTCTCCAGCCACACAAGATGCCATGGCTGTGGTGTTTAGTGACAGCTGGATTATTAGCTTCTTACTGAAATTCAGATAGTTCATTTTTTTGCTCAAAATTTTTCCCAACCAGTAAGTTTGTGCATCATAAGGAAGAGATCTTTTAATGCATTCGACATTACACAGCTGTGCAATATTGATGTAACAGAGTTGTTGATTAATATTCATGTAACTGAATTGTTGATTAGTAAAAGTTTGTAGAACCTGCCTATGCAAATTTATCTGCTGTCAGGCAAAAACTTTTCCTATGTGAGACCTTTTTCTTTCACTAGTGGCAGGCAAAAAAGGGAATAATAATAATAAACATTTCCTTCTTCCTTTCTCTGCCATGGCATATTACAAAATCAGTTAAAGCTGAAATGGGAGGCTCATCCTGATACCTGCAGCATCTCAAACGATGGGGAAATATACTGGGACCAGAGGTTCCTTGAAGCCCAGTATCAGAATGGTTTGATATTGATTCTAATATCAAATATTGATTCCAATATCAAGTATTGATTCCAAACATTGATTTCTAATGTTTGGACGTGCTCAGTTACTTTTATCCTGAGAGAGATAACGTTGGAGCCACAGTCCAGATGATTTTGCTTGGTGCCTTAGTGGAAAGCCTAGCCACCAAGAACCAGCATCTGAAGGAGACCAGAGCTCAGCAGGAAAAGCTGATCAGATATTTGGAACAGCAGAAAGCGGCTTATCCCCAGGTCCTGTTGCATTGTTTAGGCCTCCTAAAACAATTGGCTCATGAGTTTTGCCTTGTGTCCAGTCCAAACTGGACTAGCTCAACACCCAGTATATGGAGATTAAACGCAATGCATTGTTGCTGAAGATATGGTTTAAGGGACTGAAGATCGTATCAGAAACTTACACACCTGAGATAGTGAATGTGCATCAGGTGATCAGGGACAAACAGCAAGGTGGCTTGAACCAGGAAGAACAAGATCTAGTCATTTCCCACAAGATCCTTTTGAATTACGAGATCCTGGGGCCGGAATTTGAGGAGTTAATAAAAGAATACATGCGGTTGCAAGAAATTCTTCAGAACCGCTGGTGGGTGCTGACCGAATTGAACAAAGCCTGAACAAAGCCACCGCCTCACACATCGTTTGAGTTGTTTCAACAGCAAAATGATCCCTGTTCATGGCTACTGCTTGCTATGCTAATTCTGATATTCCCTTGCATTTTTTTCCTCATTTGGATTTTTTATTTTATTTCATTGGCTGCCTGGAAATGAGAAAGGGAAGTATTTAGGCTTCAAAATATACACCGGAGCTGTATAACAGGTGAAACAGAGCTATATGCAACCAACTCCATTTTTAGAATGATAAATAGTTGGGAATGTTTCTGCATGCTACAGAGTAAGAAAAAGGCAAGAAAACAACAGCATATGTCTTGGGATAAAACAATCTCTGTGCAAGTTGATGAAAATCTGTGGAAGGAAGCAGCCAGAAGTGTGCATAATGGGACTCTGCTTCTGGGGATGGTTGGGCTTATCTAGGTGACAAATTGATGAGAAGAGACTAGGGGAAAAGGTTGATTTAACACAATGATTCGAAATTTGGGTTGTGCAGCTGTTGCCTGCAGACCTACCAAGATAAATTCAGAAGCCATCTCTCTGTGGTGGTAGATTAATAGCAAAAATGCTAAAGAGTGTGCTGAAATTCTTGGTGCAGAAAAATCCTTATGGCAGATGGCTGGAAAAATCTAAGAACTGCAGTATACTAACTGGGAAAAGCTGAAGTATATAAAGGAAATACTATTCCAAATATAACTAGTTGCTAATCTTAGCTGTCTTGCTTAAAAGAAAGATGGAAAGAAAATGAGATGGGCATATATAGAATACCAACAGAAGGGGATATCTGTAGTTTGGGGTTGAATTGTTGGAGCCCTTGGTACTGTATGGACTTGGTTGTTTGCTCGCAGATGCTTCATTACCCAACTAGGCAGAGGTGGTATTCAGCAGGTTCTGACCAGTTCTGGAGAACCGGTAGCGGAAATTTTGAGTAGTTCAGAGAACTGGCAAATACCACCTCTGACTGGAGATTTTACAATATCCTTCCCCTGCCATGCCCACCAAGCCATGTCCACAGAACCAGTAGTAAAAAAAATTGAATCCCACCACTGCAACTAGGTAACTTCAATGAAACATCTTCAAGTAAACAGCCAAGCTTAGGAAACTCCAAGAATTCCACGTATACAGAATTATAAATTAAATGTAAAGCCAAGTGACTAGAAGAAACATGGAAAACTCCTCCTGATTTGCTGGCCTACAGCTCCCATTATCCCCACCTTTGGAAATATTGACTGGGGTTACTTAGACTGGCTGGAAGCTAATACTATCTAGAATCCCAAACTCTAAAATAAGGTTTCTGTTGACATAGATCGAATTTTCAATAGAAGAAACTATGTTATGGGTCAAGCACTGGGTCCAAGAAGGAAAAAGGTTACTTATTAAGAAAGCCAGTAATGAGGGAAAAGATGAATATTTTGTTCTGGAAATTAGTCTCCTCCTTGGATCTTAAAGTATAATGAAGCCAACACAGATAATCCTGTAAATCCACAAAATAAGACAAAATTCATTTAGTGACTGCTTGCGGTTATAATGAAAAAGTAATTTTACAACCAATCTTCACATTCAGGATCTTCACAAGTCTGTAAAGCCAAGGAAAACTAAACTAGGATTATAAGCACAGTTGTGGTTTTACTTAGCACTGGTTTCACTTAATGGCCAACTTGCCAATTGTTGTCACTGAATAAGGACTATTTGTAAAAGGCTCAATTCACAACATCTACCGACTAAAAAAATAGTTTTACTCAACTGCAAATCATCACAAGTTCTTATGGACAGTACAAATGTGCTCTTACTATAAAGGATAATGCATACATTCCATTTAGTCCATGAATTCTAATTTAAAGAGATCATAATTTGAATCCATGCAGTAAAAGAACCCATCCATTTAAATCAAAGAAGTGGTCTGTATGATAGACCCCACAAAGACCTCATGCAGCTTTTTCAGTGTTGAACTACTCCTAAATATCTTAACAAAAGTCCTCAAATGTGGCCTATTTTAATGAATCCCATTGAACAAAATTCTGAACATCTTTCATAGTAGAAAGTCGCCAGCTTTCTGAAAGGGAGGACTTTTAAAGCTGGATATTCAATGATCTGTTTGGGATACAGCTGCTAGCCTCCCAAAATTGCACTAATATTGTCCTGCTCAAAAGCAAATCCTTATTCACTAAGAGTTCTGCTTTCTCTTCAGTGTCTACTGTTTGGATTTGTTACACTCTTTGTACCTTATGCTCCCTACTACTAAGCCACGACTCAGCTAGCACTTCAGTGTAAAGGAAAAGCTTCTGAAGGAACACATCCAAGAAAAAGTCTCCCACACTGAAGTAGGAACTCCCTTTTCATTGTCAGTGTTTCCAGGAGGAATGTGTTGCTGTTACTCTTTCCACACAAGGAATTTAGGCTCTTTCCTTTTGGAGGAATCTCCAGGAGGACATAAGAAGTGTCAATGCAAGACCCTGCAATCACAGCTATTGTGTAGTGATTTCTGTCCTGCAGTAAAAGATCTACTGTATTCTACTTCTTCATATTTCCTTTAATGTTTCGAGCATATAATAATAGTTCCTCCACTGTGTGCTGAAAACAAATAGAAATCTGGGAACTACAAGGAATTTCCTAGTTCAAACCTCCCTTCAGTTATAAATTAAGCATCTCACAAGTACAGTATCCCTTCAGTATTTGCTTATGGGGACAATATTAGTGTAATGTTTTGTCCAGGGAGCTTTGGTCAATAAATCATCATTACCATGTCAGGATTTTCTCCTCACTTCATCTTTCCCTCTGGACTTGGTCTACCTAAGAGGAAGGATGTCACTAGTTATTTTCATCACTTCTCATTTATTAGGAGGAGATTACATGCACTGGCTTGAAGAGAAAGTGACATTTATTTAGAATATGAGCCTTACCAAATTCTAGGGCAATTTTGAGATTATAAAAATACCCCTTGTATACTGAATATTTGAAATGTGAGATTATATTATCATGATTAAATTCCTTTCACATCTTTTAAACGATGAAATACAATACCTACCCAGTATCTAACCTAACCCGATTCTCTGAAGAATGAAACATTTGTTTATTTATTTCTCTTCTTTAAAATGAGAGATTAAGTGCACCATAAAGGAGCATAACACTTCAGTCCCAGAAGTGGGAGGAATACAAAAATTCATAGTTGCCCAATTTCATCTTCCATCAAGGAAAAAGAAAATTATACATTTCTAATATTAGGAAAATGAAATGAGTGTCTAAATGACTGCAGAAGACATTTCACGGTAGACTGATGGGAAACATGCTATAGGCATTGTCATTAGTAGAAAACCACAAACCAAAATTTTCACAACAGAGATTTGCACAAAACTGGCTAAATCTCACAAGGGACAGATTGTTGGGCTGATGCAACTCCTTACTATTTATGATGCTGCAACAACAACAACAACAAAACTAAGAGTGGGATTTAATATGGTGGCATTAATGCAATTCATAAATATATAGCTATTATTCAAAAAAAATAGTAGGCATGAGAACACTCATCTTGGCTTGTTAACTGATGGAGGAACTGCTCTGCATCGAGGTTTGTACACTAGCTGTTTGCAAAGAAAGAAAACTTGTATTCACATTAAAAGTTCCGTGCTTTCAGTACAAATAGCAGGTGCAAAATCATTGTTCCAGAGAATGAAATCAGGACTAGAGCCATCTTCCTCATCCAGGTTTCTCATCCAGATTGCCCCCATCCCAATATCTATTTTAGTTTTTAAAAATTCAAACAGTTTTTTTTTTAACTGACTGAATAGCCTCATTCTGGTTTGTCCCTGAGGAAGAAAAGGCTTTTCAACAGCATACAAAAACAGATATACTTCAGTTGCAAAATGAGGTGCTATTATATGTCCCATCTTTGTTGTTATTTTTTTCCAATTAACCAGAAACAAAAGCCAATCTTTAATCTTCCATTATAAGGAGAACTTCCAATTCCACCATAATTTTAGACCCTTTCCCCTTGTATTCTTTCCAACTCAATATTCTTCTCTAAGTGGAAAGGAAGAGGGAGTAACTGGAACTGTAACCACAATGAAAATATAATTGCACTACATCTGAACAAAGAAAAACAAATTTCCAACATCTTTTTAAGAAGTTCTTTGTTTGGCAGAGCTTTTCATCATATATTGCAGACATTCTTGAAACACTTGAAAATTGTATCAGCATTCTTTATTTCTGCTAACCAATTTGGAAAACCCTTTGGCAATTAAAAATAAACAAGAGGGAACAAGTCAGATGCAGGGAAAGAAACCCAAGGGTGTTTATAGCTGTGCCGAAATGCTTGCAAAACCTTTTTCCCCCCCTCCCTTTAAAGATTTTTCTCCACAATTTTTCAAGATGCTGATTCCCTTAGCTTTCCCACTGTGGCGGCCCAAGGCTTTTTGTCATGCTGCAGCTGTGATCTGATAAAATAAATGACACTTGGAGGGGCTCATGTCCTTAGTAACAGTTATAATAGAGTTTCTAATGTGCAATAATATTCAAATGAATATTAAAACATCACAAAGCAATAATAAAACCGCAGCTGTGCCACTATAGAAAACCACAGATTCTAAAGGAATAGGAGGCAACCCAGCACTGAGTTACGCATTGATACCTGCAGGGCAGCCAAGGTTATCTCTCAAACTGATGGAAAATAAGGCATATGGAATTCTGCTCACAAGGAGCCAAAGGATGATTCCCAGAGGAACCAAGGGGAGCTCAACAAAAGAATATTCTCCAGCCCCTTTTTGACTTCGCTATTCCATCTTTCCATCTCGTTCTAAAGCTAGAGCTTTAAGAATTCATATTTAGGATTAAATGAGCCATTACCTGAAACAAATGTGCAGTTGCTCTCCACAGCAACCACTGTGCTTATAAGCTCTCCAACTGCTTTTTTGTGTGTGTGGGGGGTGTGTGTGGATGGATTTTGGAAGTGAGTGTGCTAGTAAGTGGCAGCATCTGGCCAGTGAGGCTAATATTGGAAGGTAAGCTGGGTT